GGTCCAAACTCTGATCAAACAGTAAAACTAGGCAATGCTGATCAAATATAAACCAAGATTCTGTTACTGTATTGCTATTTATTGCCTAAATATTCTTCAGAAACATATTTAAGTGCACTGTTTAGCTGTATTATGAGAGTTTGTGAGCAGGAAGTGGGAGCCATACTGTTTCCTGTATTGTGTAAATGAAGGCGAATGAAAGATCAAACAGTAAATCTGAACAAATATGAACCAAGATTCTGTTACTGCGTTTCCTATTTCTTGCCTGAAAGTTTTTAGAAACATATTTTAGCATACTATTTAACTGTAATACGAGAACATTTGTTAACAGCTGGCCACCATGTTGTTTTCAGTTAGGAAATTCATTGGTCCAGTGTGGTGCAGTGCATTCTGGTAGTTGTAGATTTTCTACATCTTGAGCAAAAGCAGTGCCACAGTCCCTTTTATTTTTACTTTTTTCCCAGGATTTTTGGGGGGGTATTTTGCCTTTATTATATAGGAAAGTCTAGTGTGAAATAGGGAGAAAGATGGGATGAAATGCAGCAAAGGGCCAGAGTTGGAATTTAATCTGTGGCCGCTGGGGTGCCTGCTCTACCAGGTGAGCTAGTGAGTGCCTAATGTAGCACTAATTTCTAAAGCATTTGGGTCTTCCTACTGCATAGACAGTCTAGTTTTATGAAAAGACCATCTATACATTAATGAAATACTTCAGCATGTAACTGAATTGTCAGTGAGTGTTGATGCTGAATAATAATGAAGCCTATCTGATGCCACCAAAACTCACTTGGAGGCGGGGCGCTTTTAAACTGGTAACGGAAATCCAAATCAGCAGGGCATGGTTTGACTGTGTGGCCAAAAGAACCAGTGGAAAAGCCCTCCTGGTTGCTGCCTTTGACTGCCTGCTGTGTGGTGCTAGACAGGTACCACAGAGGATCTATCAAATCTGGATCTATCAAAGCTGAAAATGGCTTCCTGCTGTGGCTGGCAGTCTGATGTCTGAACACAGTCCTTAGATCAGATGGACACTAGCAGTGTGTGGCATGTCCTGTGGCCATGTATCCATTTAGTACTAAGTCCAGGGTAAAAAAATCAGCGTTTTCACATAAACCAACAGCTTTGAAATATACAGTATGCTATGAGTGTGTATTTGTGTAGCATCTGGCGTCTCTCCACCTCATCAACCACTGTACTCCAGGACTCTCACATGTTGATTACCCTAACAGAAACATCAATGTCCTGGTGTATTAGAAAGGTGAATTAGACTGAGGTGGTTCCTCTGTGATGTGATGGCAAACTGCTCTCCCCCACTGTGTGTTTTCATCTAACAAAAGGTAATTTAAAGAAATGTCTTCCCTTCATTCTCTTCCGTCTCCTTCAGTGGGGAGTGAGGGATCAGGTCGACTCTGAAAGTGGCTTTTCGGCTTTTCGCCTACATCCCCCTCACAGCGTTTTCAGTTGACATACAGTAAGTGGGGCCGCATTAGCTTGATATCTAACTCCCCGAGCATGAAATAAAAAAACGGCGGAGGCCATAAAGCATAAACAGAATAATAGGATTTGTTAATAGCAATGAGGCATAAAGAGAGGCTTTAATATATTATATTTGTTCCGATTTGACACTGGGATCCGAGCGGGTGCACAAATCTCTTTAGGATGTGAAGAAACAGCTCAAGCTCAGTGGGTGGAAGCATTCAGAACAAATTCAAATGAAGCAAATATGCAGAGGGAGGGGTGAGCAATCATCATACATCAGACCAGTCGGAGCTCTCACTACCAATACGCTTGCACCTCAATGACTCGGAAATAAAGAATATTGGACCAAAGCGGAGTGAAGACAGAGTCTGTTTATCTCCTCCCGCCACAGTTGAATCAGTGCATCAGTATGTATCCGTCTGTATGTGTCAGAGATCAACAGCCTTAGAAATATCACCTACCCAACAGCTCCTGTTACTTACACTCAGGCAAAGATACAGAAGGAAAGAAATGTGTTTTCATCTATTTTTTTTTCTTACCAGCACCTGCCACACACACCTCACTTTAATTGGCTTTGATCGAGCTCAGAGTCAACCAGCTTGCGAGCTTTCTCTTCCAGAGTTGTGAAAACAATTAGCAAATCTCAGGTAACACAGTCACTGGTTGGAGGTTTTTAACTTTCTCTTTTTGCCTCGTGGAGAAAAAGAAGCTAAAACATGGAGGCATGTCATCAGTGCCAATGGAAGCAGGGGGATTTTTCAAGCTGTCTGCAATGTGGCTCATCATCTGTCACTACTGTCCCCCTGGGATCTGCCTGTAGAGTCAATTAGTGTTTGGGCCCTTCCACCAATTGCTAAGCATCATTAAATATGGAACGTTGAGGGAGTGTGTGTCTGTGTGTTGGAGAGGTCAGATGTGTGTTTGCATCTGTGCTTAATGGGTGAATGGGCGCTTTCAGCACTTTAGCACTAAACTTGTTTGTTAGCAGTAAAGCCTTGCTGATACTGGACTTTTGAGGCCAATACCCATATCTATAAATGAAAGTTTAAAAAAAAAATGTGATGACAACATATGGGCCATTACTCATTTTTTATCCTAAACACATACACTAAACTAAACAGATATTTTTAATAAGGGTGCTTTATAGCCCTTACAAAGCCCCAGTCTATTCACACTGGAACATATAATAAGAATGTTTTCTTTGGTGTATAATCCCCTGAAAATAAGAAAGGTCATGTTTTTGTTACCTTAGAATGAGCCATTTATATCTACATAGGGAGCAGGTTCTCGTCCCAGAGTCCGCCATGTTTCAAACAACTATTTTTATGTGAAGCTGCTTTAGTGTTTTTCCTGGTTTTAAACACCAGTTACATTTGTTCTGGACAGAAAGAGAAGTCTACGGATAATTAGGCTCCTCGTAAAAACCTCCTCAACTTATATATCCTAGCTTGTCCGAAAAAAAGGTGAGCACACATTAGTGGGTGATGAGCTAGAGGCCTGTCTGCGAGGAGCTGAACAGCGTCGCAGAAACACTGACTTGTACCTACAGTCGACGAAGAGCCTACGCCTGACGTGGACCTCTTAGAAATGTAACTACACATCGCTGTGACTATTTTTGTAGGCTTAAAGCTTTTATTTACTTTAATTTCACAGATAAGGAACAATAAATTGTGAAGACAACAAAGCCTCCACAAAAAAGCATTTCAAGTCCTGTGTGTGATTTATCCTGGCTTCATATGAGTGGGGGAAAAGTCTGCTAGCTGCTAGGCTAATTTAAACAATGTAAAATGCCATGGGCATTGTGCTAATAATTTTAGCATGTTATATTTGTTTGGAAAACGTGTTTAGTAGAAGACAGTTGGTTTTTCGGTGAACCTTGTGAGTTGTAATGGAACTGAATGTTGTACCTTTGAACCTTTGTACCTTTGTTAAATGTTGCTGTTGTTACATGCATGTGAGTAAAGGAAATCAGCATGTTGTATTTGTGGGGAAAATGTGTCCAGATTAAGACAAGTGTTTGTCTGTGAATGCTGCGAGTTATAGTGAAGCCAATTTGTGTACTTGTGTTTGACATTGTCTCTATTAAGCCAAATATTTAATGTGTGTTTTGGGTTTGTTTTGATTCAATTAAACTTTACAGCACTTAACATAAACCTCCGCTGCCGGCCAGTGTTTTGGAGGTGTAACTGCAGAGTGACACAGACACACCAATGCACAAGTATAAACGCTCCAAACGGCATAGGCTACGGTGTAGGCTCTGCATAGCACTGATGCAGAAGTACAAATCCTGCATTAGACCTCCTCCTCCTCCTAGACTGTGTGGACGACACAAACTGCAGCTGATTCTCATCTCCCTGACCTGTCTGTTAGTTTTGCTGCACCTGTTGAGGCGGGAAACCTTGCATTGTTACCATTTTTAATTGGGTGTCGTCATGTAATTCCCAGCATAGCTTCATTTAGTTAGAGTGATTGAAAATAATCGTGTCTATTTTTAAGTATGAGACTGGAGCCAGGAGACCATTAGCTTAGCTTAGCACAAAGACTGCAGACAGAAGAAAACAGTTGCCTGGCTCTGTCCAAAGTAAATAAATAAATAACTTACTAAAAATATCACTAATTGACATTTTTTTTCTGGCAACCTCACAGCAATGACAAAACACACAAAAATATTTGCAGCATGTGACTCCCCGTAAACCATGATATGTTGTTTTTACACTTCTGTTTGTGTCTGATCAAACAAACATGTTAATTAGTGCCGTTAGCTGGGTAGTGGTCTAACAGCCTATCCACACTGAAAGGCTTTTTAGAAGCCTTTTTGATGTCACTTGCCAGTTGCAACTGACAGAACACATACGTCTCCATTTATTAAATCGATCAGTCCACACTGACTTGAGACTCTCCACGTTTTTATATGCTTTAAGTCTATTTTTGTCATGTTTAGTGAAGCATAATCTGCATTTATAGCTATTTAAATCACACAAATATCCAACTGTATATTGTTTATTACATGTTTCTTCATTTGGTTGATCACAGCTCTCAGTCTGTCTGTGAGTTGTCTGTTTCACTACAGCAGATATCCCCCCTTACTGACAGATTTGTGAGACTTTTAGGGACAACGGAGTCAGTGTGGATTGGATGGCAGGACGCTTGCGCACAGCGTCATGTCTTGCTTACATCACGCTTTCAGTGGGAATTCCGAGCTGTGGCTTCATACTTAACAGACAGACATTGGAGCAGTATCAAACTTCTTGTCCAGCTCTCACAAAGAAGCGAATAATAAAATACTTTTTAAGTAATCCTCGAAGAATCATGATCATTTGCATTTGAAAAATAAACTTCTTAGTGCTCTCTGGTGTACAAACTTTAGAACGGCAACCCTATCTGGCTGTACTGCAACTTTTTGTCACTTATCTGCCTGTGTATATACACATATATATCAGCCATACGCTAAAATTAGTCCATATTATAAGCCATGCAGATGAATCTGTCAGGTTCTAGTGAGCTGTGATCTCAGGTGCGACTCCTACCTCATACTCAAACTCCTCTGTCCTCTCTCCATCAGCTGGAACCGGGGAGAGGTAGTCCGTCCCTTCATAGTAATCCTGGTCCATTGTATGAAGAGAATGACAGCTGTCGGGGGAGAGGCAGACAGGGAGGGAGGGAGAAAGAGGGGGTAAGTTGGGCGTGAGCACGATCCTTTTCCTCATTTTCTTTCAAATGCGTTCAATACCTCTAAGTGACAAGATTCCCTCGCCTTTGTCTTTTCTGGAATCTGAAGAATAAAGGATTTGTCAAGGGCTTTCAGTGCCGCTGGAGTGTGTGTGATAAAAATACAGCCCCTTGTTAATAACAGCATATCCACATAATTTGCTTCCTGCTCTTGACAGACAAAACCCCCCACATTGTACAGTGTAATTCTATTATGCTTCCCTCAGTCACAGAACAAAACAGCATTGTGAGGGCCTAACAAGATGAGCAGCTCCAGTGCCACACAAGATAATCACGGTGGACAAAAAACTTCAAAAAGACACTCTGTTGAACATGTCGAGTGATGTGTTCAGGGGCTGTCTGACCCTCAGATTACCCCGCACTCTACAACTGTCTGGGAACAATCTTCCAGACACAAAACCAGACTGGTAAATGTCAGGGTGCTGTATACTCTGATGCCTCGATATTAAACCTAACAATATTTGGCAGTGGGTGCAAACAATACAATTACAAATTTACAATCTAGCCTCAAAAATAAGAGAGACAAACATTTGTTACATCTATAAAATCTGCTGTATATTGGATTGTGCACCTGATCTCAGATGAAGAGAAGAAAATGTGAGTTTTATGGGACACATTGATTACATTTGGGCTCGGCCCGGGGCTGTAAGTAGCCCGCAAGCACACGTTGCACTGTGTTGCCTAGTTTTTTATTAGCCCATTTGCTTTAATCACCTTGTAAACCTTCCATGAGTCAAAATGGATATGCCAAGCAGCTCCAATTATGGCAAGAAGGCCCCGTGGGGGATAGTATGGCGATATTGTGTGAGTTATATACACGTGCTGATGATTTTGATCAGGTCACGTATAGTATTTCACACCTAACGTGTAACACTGACAATAACGCACAGTTTTACGATGTTTTTAATAATGAGCATTTACCCAAGCAAGTCTCCATAACAAATGGCAACAGGTACTTGAAGAATTCAAGATGCGTATGAATACTGAAATTAATTATGTACATAACATGGTTGCCTGAGACCATCCTGACTTCCCAGTTCGGTGCTGTGAGGCTCCTGCATTGCCACTGTCTCACTGTTTCATTCCCAAGAGGTGAAACCCAGATATTCCTTTATGCTAACATGTTCTTGTTCACAGTTTACTCCTCCTTTTAGATGAACAGAATATAAACTTAAATGGCAGAAGAGGAAATAATGAACCTTGTTCCTTTTGTTGTTTTCCAGGAAAACCTCCTGTTGATACTTTAAACTCTCAAAATCTTTTATTTGTGCATATTTTTATGCCTTCCTCCCACATAAACAATAAAAACATGTCTTTGAGGTATTGTAGTACGCAGCATCTAGTTGAGAATTGATCAGACTGAGGCACACATGTTTTTGGAGCCAGTTTGAACACAATGTAACCCAAGTATGTCTTTTAATCTTTCCCAAATCTACAGACCAAATCACTGCGACGCTGAGCGAACAACACCGATCAGTTCCAGACAGACAACTGGCAGTTAATTTAAATTGTGGAAATATGTGAAGCTGGCAAACTTGTTAATGTCTGTTGTCATTTTCAGTCGTAACTGTAACGTTTAAAGATATAAAATTACACATTGTGTTCCGACCTGGCTGGCGCTGCTGTTGTACTCATTTTATGTACTGTGTTGCTTTGCCAGCGTCTTTGATAAACTAAATCTTCTGGCACAGGAGCTACATGTACATACACAGCGGCTGTGGCAAAGCGTATTTTAGCTGCCTAAAAAGACCCACTTAAAAGAAAATTAATATCACTTTCAGTGTATGCTATATTCAGAATATTTTCTCTGCATTGCCTTAAACCAATGAAGGAAGCGGTACACCAGCAACTCCAGTAATATGCTTAATAAAATTACTGTTTTGGTCAATGGATTTTGGTGGCTTTGAAATAAGAGCTGCCTTTGGTTGTTCGTAGATGTTTTAATATTTAAGTGTTTTATAATCTTTTTTTTTTTTTTTTTTACACATGTAATTGTTCATACTGGTGTTATTCTGTTCTGTATTTGTGTACATGTTATTATGCTATATATTTGTGTGTCAGTCTTTAATTTGTATAGCACTGTGGTCACCGTGATTGTTTTTAAATGCGATATATAAATAAACTTGATTTGATTTTGATTTCAAATTACTGTCTGAAAGGGCTGTCTGATGCCAAGGTAAAGCAGTTTAGATATTATAAATTTGTAAATTTCTTAAGTGTATAATCACCTAAAAATAAGAATTGCTGAGTTTCCGTTACCGTAGAATGAGCTGTTTATATCTACATACGCAACAAGTCCTTGTTAATGGTTATCGCCATGTTGTATCCCTGTGTTTCTGCTATAGCCCAGGTCAGACAAACCAAGCATTGGCTCCAGATAAGGACATTCGTGTTTACGCATTGGCCACCATAATTAAAAAGCCATCTGCGACAAGCCTTATCGGAAAAACATCGATTTGTAATGTGAGACTGCTTTCTTCAGTGTTTTACAGGTTTGAATCAAAGGGCCATTTGTTTTAGAAAGGAAGAGAACTCTGTTGATAATTCCGCTTCTGGTTAAAACCTCCTCAACAATGAACACTGAAGGATTTCTAACTGGGTGAAGTTTCAGCTGGTTGCAGTCTGCAATCCTTACTGCTAGATGCCACTGAAGTCCTGTTTATATGACAACGATTTCAACTGAAAACGGTAAACCTTAGTTGCGTTTTGGCTGATTGTTTCCATGACAGCAGCGTTCTGGGTGCCTGAAAACGCAGCGTTTTGAAAACAGGTTCCAGAGTGCAACTTTTTGGAAACAGCACCTTCTCCATTGTCATGTAAACTTGCAATATGCAGTTCCTCTGAACACGGAGACTTTTCACACATGCGCATTACAGTTCTAGTCAGTAGGCATGCGCGAGAAAATCAACCATCACAACAACAATGGCGGGCTCCCGGGCTCTGTTTGTGCTGCTCACCCTGTTGAATTTATCAACGCTTATCCAGCAAAGTGTAGATTTAGTGTAGCAACAAACATTCTTGCGGTTGCCATTTTGTTTGTTTATACATCACCACTCTATAGAGGGAAGCGCATGTGTGCAGGCATGTGTTGTTTCATCACAGAGTCATACCGCCAACTACTGGCCTGGCATGTATACTACAGCATTTTTGGTCATCTTTGCCGATCCGTGTGCACAGAGATTGTTATCAAAACGTTGTCGTCTGAACACAGAACTTTTTTAGGCACGAAAATGAGGAACGATTCTGTTTTCAGTGGATCGTTTTCTTGTAAACATGGCCCAAATCCTCTAAATCTTACACACTTTGCCTTTAAACTAGATTTTAACAGTTGAGGCAGCGATTGCTCGGTGCCGTTTAAGTTTATGTAAATGACGCTGGGATTATCTATCCAGAAGTTACTGTAAACAAACATTGTGATTCAGTCTACAGACATGTAACCCCCAGAAATACATTTAATCTTACAACTGAGTTGTTTCTGTGCATGATTATTAAGGCAGACGGGATGTATGAATGTCATAGAAAGGGTGGAAAATGTAGAAATGCAGTTAACAAACCAGGTGTGTTGTGTTACTGACCATGGAGACCAAATCCAACAGTCACTGAATATTAAAGTCACTTGAGGCTGTCATACATGACTACATTTTTAGTGGACTGGAACCACTAATCAACTTTTTCATACTTCCTCCTCACTGATACATTTAAATTAATGCTTTAAACTAAACATTGAAATGCTGCGCACACTTCACACATATATTCTGTATTAATGGTTAATTACGACCACTTAGCCCTTTCCTTTATTTCTCTTTTTTTAAATTCAGTGTGTCCCATCGGTGAGACGAAGACATGAAGGATGTTGAGAAGCTCATTTATCAAACAAATCTATATTTGTTAGACTATGCAGCTGGTTAGACAATTCATTTATATTTTACAGGCGTCACGCATACTTGTAATGCTAATCCTGCAAACACTGATATTTCTGCTTCATAGCTCAATAACATTTCTCACTACTTTTTTCCTCCCTTCTTAATTACCATCAGTCTCAGCCAAAGTCAAAACAAGGACACAACAACAAACTCTTGTGGCACCGGAACAAAATGCTTTGTAATTATATCAAATCAAATACAAATATATTAAATTATATCAAATTACCAACCTCCTTCAAACTCCATTCCCTGCTCTGAATCACTAACCATCACACTGTGTATTTATTCAGTGTGAGCACTGCTGATGTATTTCACAGAGATGTGAAGTGACTGCATTTCCTGTCGTGCGTACCTGTCAGAGAGCAGGAAGGGACAGACGTCAGGCACAGGAGGGGTGGAAGGCCGGAGCTTTGCCAGCGCCATGATGTGTTCAAAGGTGATGTCGGTCTGAGTGCACACATCCACCACATGGATTTCCTGAGGGGGGCCATGGGGGCGTCCGCTAGGGGTCCGCCGGATGACCTGCACCACGACGGGGTCCTTGGCAGCGCGAAAGGCCTCCGCAGTCTCCTCATGGCTGGACTTGGACAACTCCTTCCCATTCACCTGTGGGAGACAGGGAGAAACACTTGTGTTTATTTTGACTGTGATATGAAAACTCAACTCAATGTGATTTCTTTTGTGTTGACTGTTACTATAGAAACAAGTTATTTAGATGGACATACTTGTTCTTCTAAAACTCAGTATGCAGAGCCAAAGAACCAGAATTTTCTGGCTAAGTGACTTTAGACTAAAAGCCAGCCATGATGGAAGCCAAAATACACCTACTATTACTTGTATTCTTGCTCCTTTTTTGCTCTTTAAGCTAAGTATTAGATGCAGATCTGAGAGTTGTATGTAAAACCTTAAATAAAATGAAGCCTAATGCTGGGTGAGATGGAGAAATATCACAATATCACAATGTTTCTGACCAAATACCTTGATATCGATGTATGCAACCATATTGTAGGATTGACTATCTCTGATGAATAATCGTTCGTAACATGGATATAATGATAAGTGGGTAAAGGCAAATAATAGCGGAGCTATAACAGTCTGGTAAGCTGAGAAAATCACATGACTTTACTGTAATACAGCCTTTAAAACCAGAGAAATACAACACCTACAATAGTACGATATCTAACATCTAAGACAATATCTAGTCTCTAGCACAATATCGATACTGTATATTGCACAGCCATGATGGAGCCTCAGACATAAACCCACTACCACATTTGTGTCCATTAGTCTTAAAAGTATCTGAGGTCTCATTTATAAACATTGCGTATGCACAAAACGAGGCCTGAAAGAGGCGTACGCCACTTCCTTCTTTAAAAACAGACTTGATGGAAGAAATTTTGACCCATGCTTATGAACATTTTGGAGACAGGAAAATGGTGACGCAGATGGTGAGGCGGATGCCTGATTGGAGAAATTGTTTAATGTTTTTTGGCTTTTGTCCGGACGTACATTTTCAGTATGGGTCCTACGCATTGTTTTATAAATGTGGCCTCTGGCGCTCATTCAGTCTGCTGCCTACTTGCAGAAATGTATCTCCTTCCACCTCTCCAGCCTCCTTTATTAGCACAAAGTCTTACATAACTTTTGAGTGTTTAACTACTCACTGCAAGTTACTTTAAAGATGTAAAGGAAACTTTGATTTCTTGTCTGCCTCCACAGTGAACGAAGAATCCAAAAAAGGCAAACGTTCTTGATGAGTTGAAGTCATTGGGGATCATATTTATCATCAAGAAAACTATTCCTTAAGATCTGTTTACAAACTCTCACACAACTTGTGCAGTATAATCCAAGTCTCACTCATCCAGTCAGATGCTCAGTACTTCCCGAACACATGCATTTTTGCTAAAACCTCACTGTTTGAAACACTTTTATTTACGAGCAGCATGCCCTGAGCGTGCCTGAGCACACACGTGAATATAAGCCCCACTTGAGCAGAGTTCAAATGCATATGTGCTCAGGCACGCTTCTTGGTCGCTCATGAGGCTGTTTGTACTGAAGTGTTTTAGATTAGTGGTTCCCAACTTGTGGATCGCAGTCCAAAAGTGGGTCGCAGGCCCATTCTGAATGGACCACAAGTAACTCACGAATGTGTCAAGATTGTATAAAACACACTTTGTTTTTTAAGTGCAGTGAATATCTGGCACAGAGGCTTTATTTTGAAGTGCCAGTTCCTGCTGTAGAGTGAGTGACTAACAGACAGCTACTTGACAGAGACAGCAAACTAGCTCAACAACATGGCCAAATGCAAGTATTCACTGACTATATTAATCTGTGTGGACCTTGAACTAATGACTAAGGAGAAATCTGGACCCTGTAGCTGGACCAGTTGGGAAACACTATTTTAAATATAATGTTTTAGTGAAAATGTGTGTATTTGTGAAGCACTGAGGGTACGACTGGATAAATGAGACTTGCAGGAGTTGTGTGAGAGTTTTGTTAACAGATGTTTTGATTTAGTTTTGCCATGTTTACTTAAATTCATAAATAATCTTCATCTTTTTTTGGATTCTCCGTTCACCGTTGAGGCAAGCGAGAAAAAGTTTTCCTCATGAATATCAGGTAATAGTTTTTAATATACAAATGGTGTTTTGCAAGTGAAATATTCCTTTCATGTATTGATATTAATTCAATGTTATGTATCGGAGCCTCTGCCAGACACTTTGTCTCAGCCTTTGCTGAAAAACTTGTCACTAACAAAACCAACAATACCACCATCAAAGTGTCTGAACCTGCATCACACTGTATAAAGCCAACATTATGCCTTCAGGGCCATTTCTCCATATTGTAGCTCTACAGTTGTGTTGGGCGTGAATGCATTCAGATAGAAATTTATATTTTTTTTCCTGGATGTCTCCCCTACAGATGATCAAAAGGAAATCTTTATGAAGATAACATTGGAAAACATACACTGAAAAGCACATTTTGATGCAACATTATCTGAATGTTAGATCAAAGCCCAAATGGCCCCTGTTCACTCAGTCCATCTTCAACCTCATCTTCTCAAAATGAACTGGATTTTCTGGCAGATTGAAAACCATTTGCACTACAGCTGGCACATATAAAGAAAATCATTGCTTCATTTAACACCAGTAATTTCTCTGGAAGAGAAGCCATGGCTGTGGAATACCTTAGAGAATGTGCTCTGGTTTTAAATGCTGAAACCAGAGATTATAATTTAGATAACCGCAGAAAGAAAAAAAAAAAAAAGGGTAGACAGCATAATTACACTTGCTTTTGTATTTAAATACGGTTTTGGAGTGGAGCATTTTGCTCACACAGCAAACTGAAATGTATTTAAATGATAACTGGAGAAGTGAAAGAAAGCGTCAGCTGTGGGGAAATACAGCAGGGCCGGGGAACTCAAATGCAGCACTGTTTCATAACTTACATCACAAACTCTCTTTAAAATGCAACACGGTGGTAGAAATGAAAACACACAGCCTCGTTCAGACTCTAACAAAATGACCTAAATTCATGAGCAGTCCACAGTTTGTGTATGTGGTGCTTCTAAATGAACATTAAAGATGCAGAAGCCACTGGGGAACTCCGACAGAGAGAGCTGGTATTTTCAACCCTGGATACTCCACTGCTAATTCTGCACTTGTGGATGTTCTGTGACACATCACGCCGAATTTGACACGTTATATTTTGAGAAATGACTCGACATGTTTTGAGCAGCGCTGAAGTACTGATAGAGCCTGACAGCATAAATGCTCTGCAAAGCTGGGCTCAGAACGGATGTTTTATATTTTTATAATAAATATGTCTGCTCGCATGTTATGTTTTCAAGAGACCCCATCTGAGACACAGACGACCAGCCAGTCAGTTTGTGTCTTTGAACAGATTTCCTTCGACTAAGCACATTAACATGTGGTTATGCAGAACACTGAGTCTCTAGTTCCCCACTCATTTTGGCTTGTGACCAGGGCTGCAATTATTCATGCTTCAACCATTATCATTAATTAGTCTTCTCATTATTATCATAATTGATTGATTGTTTGCTATATGAAATGTAAAAGATCATAGTGAAGAAAAACATAAAAAAAAACATGTCTAATTTTTCTTAATCAAAACTCCAAAGCATGAAGATATTCAGTCTAATATACTAATGACGAAAAGAGGCAGCAAATCCTCCATCTGAGAAATTGGAGCCTGAAAATGTGAAGCTTTGTTTCACTTTTTTTTACTTGAACAATTACTCCCTCTTATTTTTTTGTTTATCAGTTAATAGGCGTTTGCTTCAGCTCTACTTGTTACTTCTTGAAAACATGCCTATAGTCTGGTATCCATTTAAATGTAGCTTAAAGTTAAACCAATTTTTCAAAAGATAAGCAAGTGAAAACGCAAATTTATGCGCTTTTCCATCTCCTACCAGTAGGTGGTGCTAATTCCCCAGTCAGGTGCCATCATACCATTAAAGGAAAAGGAAGGAAATGAAGAAAAATGACAGAGAGCAAATCGGAAAGTGAAAAAAGAGAGTTTGAACTAGGGATGCACCGATACGATATCTGTATGGAATATCGGCCGCAATATCATCAAAAGAGGTGGATCAGGTATCGGAAAATGCAATCTATACCTGAGGTGATCCTTTCCCTTTACATCTATTGCGATGCGAGCTACGTCATATGTCATGGAGTGAAGGCGAGAATCTGCTGTGTGGAGGAATTTCACACTATTTCAACTGCTGTTGCACAATTGTTTATTTTTGTTAAAAATAAATAGTTCATCATTGCATTAATCTGTTTCATCTTGTTTCATTTTATTTTAGGATAGAACTGTGTAGTCATCAATGCCTGATGCCTCTAGTTTTTTCTCTTCTACATGTAAAGGTATATAGCTTTTTAGGTCTACCATGATATCAGATTGGTATCGGGTATTGGCTGATACTCAAAGCCACAGCACCGGGATCGGTATAGAAACTGAAAAAGCTGGATCGGTGCATCTCTAGTTTGAACAATTAATTTAAAGATTTGCCCCTAGAGGGGTTCTGGCACCGGCTCTGTGTGTTTACACAAGTGTGTTAAAAGCAATTCAGAGGACAAAGAGAGCTTCCAGTGTCCTATATGATGACGATACGTCAATCTGTTTCCATTGTATTTTGCCACATTAAAAAAAGGAGTACTTCACACCTCTATTTCCAAACATGTGTTTAGGAGAGGGATGAGAAGAATAAAACTTGTAGAAAAGACTCCTGCACACTGTCTGACTTGCAAAAATAATTATTTTAATGCTGCAATTTTTCGGTGACTAGACCTTCATCAGGCAAATGTCAGCTTTAGAACATCAGGACTAGACCTTCATTAGTTTTGCCCGATGAAGGTCTAGTCACCAAAAATTGCAGCAGCCTCCTGCATGCATGACCTTTTATAGATACACCAACTGTTCCACCTTCCCTAAGCGTGACAACTTTTTGCGATACCTCGATATTCACTCAGGATTTTTACATGCTAATAGGAAAAGCACACAACAACAGGTTGATGGAAACGCACACAATATCTATTTGCTGTCCTTCATCACAGGACGTGTATCTCTGTGACTTGCGAGCA